CTCTTCCCAGGTGAGGCAGGTCAGTCACCGGCTTCTGGATGGCCGCTCACAGCGGCTGCTGGCCGCTCATGCTGGCTGCCGGCTACACACGGTAGCTTATGGCAACCACTGCAGCAGGGACTGCAGCCCACGTTGTTGCCAGCGACCCATGGCAGCCCAGCTCCAGGTTGAGCTGTTGTTCAGCATCTTAGCTGTAAAGGGCAGTGTTACTGGCCCTCATATGTGGGATCCGAACCGGGGCCCTCTGGCATCCCAAGCCAGTTCTTAACCAGTGTGCCACTCAGCCGGCCCCCAAGCTTACTCTTAACCATGTGCTGCTCAGCCAGCCCCATAATGGTTTTATTTGACAGAAATTGTCATATACCAGAAGCAATGGAACGTTGTTATGATAGAGGATGAAATAAAGACACTCATGAAAGAGGACTTCTAGAACTACTTCAGAAAGTGGCAGGAATGATGAGATAAGTGTATTTGAAGCAAGGGGGAGAATTTTGAGGGGGATTAATAGCAATGTGTCTTTTACTGTAATAATTTTTTAAATTTAATCATTCACCATATCTTTTGATCACACCCCATATCCAGTTTGTGTTATGAAAGCAATATAACAGAAAATTTGAAACAAAGATAATCCCAACAATATAAATCACCACTTGTACACAACATTTCCTGGGTATAGCCTCCGAGTCTTTGACTCTGTTCATTTGTATAAGTGTTTATTCTCTTAACAAAATTTCAATCTAGTCCTCTAAAATCTCCCCACTTTTGTTTTTTTTAAAGTAAGACTGAGTATAGTTCTAATCATAGTATGCTTATAATTTTGTATATTGCTTTTTAATTCTATATTGTGTCATAAACATTTTCCTACCTACTATCATATTTATCATGATAATTAAATTATAATATTGTGTTTAACTTTGCACATAATAGATATATTATAATTTAGTTAAACATATTTTGATTTGTTTTCCAATTAGAGAGCTTTTATGTTTTTCAAAGTGAACTTTTTGAGATTTAATTCTTCTAGGTCCTTAAATATGATAATCCGGAGGGCCCTCAGTTTGTTCTCTCACAATCTGGAATCCTAATTTATATTTATATTATCTGGGGATGATTGTTAGTGATAAGTTATAGAGACTATTCATAAGGCTTCTAAGGTTTCAGCCCTAGTACCTCTACCTTAGACCCAAGTACTACTTTTGATAAAAAGAGACTCCTAAGGAAGTTGGAGATTTCTCATTCAGGCTGGGTAATGTCACAGTTGTATGGAAAAAACACAAATCTGTAAAGTGCTAATTTTAAGCTCGATCTCTAGAGCCCTACCCTATATTGGTCCTATGGCAGGGCTTCCCATAGAAAAATTGTCTAATCTTTACATTAAAAAGGACTACTTCCCCCACTTTTTAAAATCCCAGATATGAAATAGATGCTGTTGATATAAGAAACATCCAAATCTGTAGGGAATTTTTATAAGAGTTTATTTGACCCAAATTGACGACAATTGCCAGGAAGCAAGATCTCAAATGCTCCAGAAAGTGACAATTTGCAGTTTCTTTTATGCATTTGATATTAAGAAGGGAATGTAAGGAAGATTACATGAAGTTGGGAGAAAGCGAGGAAGGGATTGGAGTACAGGATGGTTAAGATTATGTGCTCTCTTGAGGATAGTTACATCTTTGAGGGATACTTTTTTTAGCATTTCAAATGTCTGTCAACCTGGATGCACAAGAACAATGGACAGGGCTGCCTTAAAACTTCTCGCTAAAGAAGTTGTAGGCCTGGGGTGTGACTACCCACCATGACCTGCCTGGTTAGGAATATTTGACCAGATCACCCTGTGAGGTTACTTTCCACACAACCCCTTTTTCATCCACAATACATAATCGATTTTTCAATTATGTATCTACACATGTGCTCTCTTGATATAATGGGTTATACTTGCCCACTGTGGAATTGGGCTTATGGTGAGTTTATACAAATGTTTCATGGAAGTAGAAAATAAAAAAATTATGGAATCTTGGTTGACAGTACCTTGAAACTTGATTCAGTTCCCTTTCATTTTCACAGAACTATAATCCCACCATTTTAAAGGAATGAGAATATTCTGTATTTAAAAGGGCTCAATAAGGAAAATTTTATCACTTTTCATTTTAGTATCTGATACCCTTCTCTGTCAGAAAATATTTTTTTTAGTATCTAAAGTAAATTATTTTTGCTGAAATATGTCTTTTATCCGATTTCCAATGATGATAGACAATCTTGTTCATGATTTAAAACAACAAACATTTCTTTATAGTTAAGTTTGCTCTTTCTAGTTTCAGTCCTTTTCTATTTTTTTGTTTTTTTTTCATATTTCTATTAAATTCATTGAAGTGAAATTGGTTAGTAAAATTATACAAGTTTCAAGTGTACAATTCTATATCATCTATATATTGCACTGTGTGTTCACCTAAGTCAATTTTCCTTCCATCACTGTATATTTAACCACTTTTACCCTCTTTTACCCTCTTTTCCCCCCTTACCCTGTGGTAACCACTAAACTGTTGTCTGTGTCTATGAGTTTTTATGTGTTTATCTTGTTTGTTTGTTGCTTTCAGTTTTCTATCTCACATGAGTGAAATCATATGGTTCTCAACTTTCAGTTTGATTTATTTTGCTTAGCATAATAATCTCAAGATCCATCCATGTTGTCACAAATGGCAGTATTTCATCTTTTCTTATGACCAAGTAATAACATCCCATTGTATATAGGTACCACATCTTCTTTATCCGATCATCTATCGAAGAGCACTTCTTGCTTAGCCACCATGACTAATGCTGCATCAAACATATGGGAACATGCATCTTTAATGATAAATGTTTTCAGATTTTTGGGTAGATACCTCCAAATTCTGTTCTTTTTTTCTGTACTATATGGGATGTCAAGTAGAGGTTGGGCATTCTGAAAGATTCTGCCTGATTTAAACAATGTACATCATACAGTTACACAGTATATACACTGAGCCTATAGAGACAGTGTACTGACACACATCATGCGAATGCACAGTTATCCTGTCTGGTATGTATTTATCACACGTGCATCAAGATCTCTAGCACAAGTAATGTACTGTCTCCCCAGTCCTCAGCCAGATTGTTCCCGTTTCCTTCCCTGCTCTTCAGTTGCCATCATATCTTTGCTTAGTGGCATGTACAGTAGTAGTAACAGAACTGGACATTGTGAGGTATTTAATTACAGGCCGTGCATTGTTGTGCATTTCTCTATACCTTAATGTGAAAGGTGGTGGGGCAGGAAGACATTGGGAGCCCCATATTCCATTGTATCTCCCGTTTCATTTCCAAGACGGAGTGGTCCATAAAGATGTGAACCAGGTCCTCTTCCTTTCTAGGTTCCACGTACTCCACTTGTGCCAGCTGTCCCAACTGCCCATACTTCTGGATGGAGTATGGTGGCCATTGTTATTACTTCTCCCTAGAGAAAAAGGACTGGAATTCTAGTCTGGAATTCTGCTTAGGCAAAGGCTCACATCTCCTTATGTTTACAGACAACCAGGAAATGGTAAGTGCAAACATTTAGCAAATGTACGTTGTTTATTTGGTGAATGCTGTTCAAATGTATCATGTATCTTCTTATGAGGAAAAAAAGGAATATCCTTTTCTTTCCCTCTCCTCTCTCCTATTTCCCCCCCTTCTTTCTTCCCCTTCTCCCCCGCCTTCTTTCCTCTCCTTCCTCACTCCTTCCCCTTTTCCATGCCTGACTCAACAACCCTCAGTTATAGAAACCTAGATTTTCTCATAGGCATGTTTGTGTGTATGTGTGTGTGTGTTGGAGGTGGAAGGATGGTGAGTATTACAGAGAAGAATTAGATCTGAAATACAGGTTTACTTAAAAAACACATTAGATCCGCAAACATGGGTCCAACAACAAGGAAGCAGCAAATGTTTATGCAAAAGCCCGTGGAATTTGGGAAGGAGAAGGGACATAGCATAGGGACAAAGAGCTTATGGCAAAGTCTTACATGCCTTCTTTTAATGTTTTTTCTTCTTCATTGAAATCCAGTAAATTCTAGGCTAGGAAATAATTGGGGTTGGAGAGGGTGTGAAGAAGAAAGCAGTTTCAGAAAGTTGGGAAAGAAGGAAAAAAAGTGTGTGTGTGTGTGTGTGTGTGTGTGTGTGTGTGTGTGTGTGTGATCTTAAGTTCCTCTCAGAGTTAAGCTGATGGACTCCACTTCCTCCAGGGCTCTCAGATCCTTTCTGTCCACCCAGCAGTCTCCTGGAGGAGAGAGATCTTTATTTCTTATTTTTTTTGAAATTATTAATAAATCGTGTGTTTATTAAATGCTTCAGATCTTGAACTTTGCAGTGTGTGTGTGTGTGTGTGTGTGTGTGTGTGTGTGTATGACAGACACCAAAAAAAAAAGGTACTTACTAAAGGTTACAAGTACATTGAAAAAAATTCCTTGATTCTTATGACATTGACCCTTCATTTTCTCACCTCCTGATATAGAAAGGAAGCAGAATCTTGCAATTCTCTGCATTTAAATTAGGAGATATGTTTCCATGTGTTGACTGAGAAAGCTCAGCTTCCTCACACCCACTTCTTTTCTGAAAGTATGTTCCTAATCTGGGGTTGCCAAAGGTTTCAAAATTTATTTCTTAACCTGGTTTGTGTGCTGCAACTAACATCCCCAGAGCAGCCAATGATATGAAGTGCTTTATCTTCCTTCCATCAGATTTCCCCAATATTCATCTCCAGCCAAAAGTCACTTAACTTTTATGGTGTTCCAACTCTGCGTGGTGGTAGCCCTTTGCCTGGCGGGTGTGTACAGGCGCCGGAACGGTGCCCCTCGCTCTTCTTGGCCTTTAGGTGAATTTCAGTGTTGGTACTGAGTTTACAACTTCTGAGTGAAGGAGGAAAGCCCTAGAGAGCTGAAAGGTTTTCATTTCCAAAATATTCTAGAACAGTGCAGCTCTTGACCAGGGCCTGGGAGGCACGGGGAGTAGGGTGAACTTCCGTTTACTGTAGACGCAATGCAGGCTATGAACAGTGATCTTTCTGAGGGCTGTGCAGAGGCAGGTCTTTGGTAGGGTGTGGTGTGGGACAGCTAGCTTCTCTCGCCAGAGATTTATGACTCCCAGAGAGCTCTTTATTAATCCTGGAGCATCTCAAGTTAATTCAAGGAGTTGACATCCTGAGGTAACCTGGTACAAAAATCAATCAAATTCTAACTTGTCAGTGTAAATAAGAAAATAAGAAATCCTAGTTAGGTTTTTAGTGCTAATTTCATGCTGACTTTTGTGTATTGATGTTGCTTTCTGGGTAGGATCAAGTCACAGAGAATAGTTTATTAAAAGTTCGAGCATATTAACATCCCCTGGGGGAAATTCAGAGAGATAAGTATTCTGAAGCAATTGGGGAAAACATATAGTTCCTAAATTTTATAATTTTCTACTTTAAGAAAAGATTAAAGCATCTAGATTTCTGTTTCCTGTCAAAGAAATACTAATTTCTTTGAAAGTTTGCATAGAATCTAACTCCAAATGAGTGTGTCTCTGTGACTGACTTCTCCTGTATGCCTTTCCTAAACTGGTTTGCAGAAGACTTTGGGGTCTATTCGTTAGACACATGAAATCTTTATTTTATGGCCTGGTGATAATAACCTTACTTTTTGCAGCAGCTCCTTTTCTCACTCTGATATAACTGCTCCTGAGGACTTGAGCTGACTGAAGTCAACAGCAGAAGTGAGCAAAGAACTTGAAACATTGCTGGGCAAATACCGATAAAGAGTAGTGAGTCATAATGCAAGACTCTGCCACAGAAATTGTGGTGTAGCAGCTACGATAGATTATAAGAGGAGGAGGAAAAGGGCTAAGGCACAGTCTCTGGGAATTGGGGATATTTCTGTGTCTCTGAGGTCCCACAGAGGAATGGAATAGTTATTTCAGTAATTTTGTCTTTTCTTTCTTTCTTAACTTTCCCTGAGTCTTGCCTCTGTGGTTGCATAAGCCCGAATAGAGTTAGATTGGCTGCATTTCTAAAACTGGTTTATTTTCTCTTAAGTCCCCTTGGTTCAAGTCAGTACTGGAGAGGGTAGAATGTCCCTGATAGATTTAATCGCAGCCGCAGATAAGTTTTGCTTCTGATATTCCTGTGGTTCTCTGGCTTAATTCTTTTTCTTGTCCTCAGCTTTTGTCAGATTCTGTAGAGCCAACTTGACTTATATTTGATCGGATGAGCATTGGTTCTCAAGGCAAGATTTACATACTATGTTAAAGTATGCTTGATATTCCTAGTATCATGCTTAGGTCTGAACCCCTGCCTGAGCAGCTAGGAGACTACTGCTAGGGAATTAGGTTGCTATATGCTAGAAGCTATTGGGTTGTCGGAAAAGTCATGACATATTTTTCTATGTTTTTCGTTGCAAAAATGCGTCATGACTTTTCCGACGACCTAATACATCCATTTCATGTTGTTAGGCATCTTTCAGTAAGGTACATATACCAGGGGTGCCAAAAAAATGTATACAATTGGACCCTTTGGTCAACATTGTGCAAACAGTAGTCACCGTAATCAGATGTGTCTGACACTGATGGTAACCACTTTGGGCACCTCTTGCAATTGCAGAGGTCAAATGTGGCTTGTATTCATCTTTTGTTATCGGTATATATTGAGTATTACAATTTTAATACAGTTTTCCTTTCTTAAAATGTGTATACATTTTTTTGGTATCCTCTGTATATAGTCCACCTCAATCTTAGTGCAGTTATAGCAGAGTGTATAATAATAATAATAATAATAATAATAATAATAATAATAATAAACTATCATGTATTGAGCACCTGCTATGTACCAGGTGGGTATTTTATGTATATTATTTTAATCTTCACAGCATAGAATACATAGTAGAATTCAACACCTCCATTTTATTGATGAGTGAATAATATTTAGGAGAGTTAATTAACAAGTCCACAACTACAAATCTGACAGAGCCAGTGTTTTCTCCTCCTCCTCCTCCCCCTCCTTTCTTCTCCTTCCACTTTCCCTTTCCCTTTCCCCTCTTTCTCCTTCTTCTTCCCCTCTCTCTCCCCTGCCTCTCTTTTAATTTTTGCAGAGACAGAGTTTAAACTCCACATTAACCTACCTTTTAAAGTTGCTTATAGAAATATAGCATTTGACAGCTTCCATAATCCATCTTGTGTGTGCTAATAAAACAAGAGAACTTTTCCTATTATTTATCTTTTGGTGCCTTTTCTTTTCTATACGTTTTAAAAATTATTTGAATTTGAAGCCTGGAATGTACATTATATGGCTCTTGGGATTTAAATATATTTAAAATAGTGAGATGCTCACTTAGCATCTATTTTTTCTATCTTGGACTTCAAGATTTATTTTTTTGTTTTTGAGGAAAAAAAACCCCAAAAACAAAATTCAAATGAAATTGCTCTATTTCCTCAGTGTTTCATTTATATAACAGTATATCTGGCCTTTGTTGTTCTTCTTGTTCTTTGAATTTAGAGCTTTAGATATATTCAAATTCTTGATTTTTGTTGTCATTTTTTCCCACACAAGGCTCAGTTCATTTTGAATATTAGCATTTGTTTCTTAGAGTTGTGGAAATATTTTGGTTTCTTTAAATTTATCCTGATGCTCCTCACCCCATAATAACTTTCTTCCTCATTACCATAATTTCAGGTTATATCATCAGACTTTATTGTTTTAACAACCTCTCATTCAACTTTAACCATCTTCCCTGTTAGAATTTACGATTTTGTGATTTTCCCTATCTTCTCCCTGAATTTTCGATATTGGCTTTTATTGTATTTAGGGTTTACATCTAATTATATTCAAGGTTTCTTTCTGTGGAGACTGCAATACAAACACTGTGGTAATCTGGTCACTTTCTTCCGTATTTTAAAGTAGAATCAGGTAATGGAAAGAGCTTAGTTTCTTTCAGACAGTTATGAGGTTTTTTTTAATTTAATTTTTTTATTATTAGTTTCAGGTGTACAGAACAATGCAATAGTTATCCTTTTCACCCCTCACAAAGTAACAACCCCCCTCCCCTCATCCACTGCCCTCACACCCTCGATA